ACACACACACACACACACACACACACACACACACACACACACACACAGAATGAAGGAGTGAAAGGCTGGATTATTTTAAGATGAAAGGCTGGATTATTCTAAGATGACTGAATTCTTTGTATAGACGAGATGGACAGTGAAGAGACAGGAAGCATGCTTTGCACTTCCAGTGCATCTGATGTTGATTTGATGACTCTCTGTCTGGCATTCATAAAAAAAAACATGTGTCATCTACAGTGAGGCTGCTCATTCACAGCTGAATCACATTGTCATGAGGATGACTAACAAAGGTGCAGATTTGAAGCAAATGAGTATGAGCACTGCTATTAATATCCATTATATAATTAAATATTCAGTGGGGTGATTATAAAGCACTGCTGGATCATCTGATTAATTAGCTGTGGCTAATCGCTATGTTTCTGTTCTCCAGCTAAATATTTTTCTTGTCTTTCCAACAATTCACATCTTTTCCCTCCACTCCGAACGAGCCAATCACAGACGATGTCTGAAAGGGGACAGGAAGTGATGTAATTGACATTGTTTACCGTCATCCCCTAATGTGTTTCTGTGCTGCAACACATGGCTGCTGCTCTCCACACAGCATCTGGCTCCAGAGCGTATCCCAGAATGATGCAACACCACGACTCATCTGCCTCACCCTCCCAGAACTTCACATCACCACAGCAACCCTAATAGCTGACTCAGACCACTCACACACACACACACACAGTGACAGCTGCTGTGTGTCGCCTCCACACACAACACATTTATACAAACACACAATTGTTAAGCAAACCAAAGTGAGAAATAAAGTAGGGGAGAAAGAGACGGACTCATACGTCCACATTGTGGTCTTATGATGGAAGCCAAACTTAGCCTCAGGCTGCAGTTGTCGACCCACATTGAAGAACATGTAGCCTTATCTCAGTGTAGCCACATTAAAACGTACCAGTAGCTACAGTGCATAATAAAACCACTCATAAAGTCAAAACCATGCTTGGCTAGGTCCCTAGTGTTTAATGACAACAGAAAGATATTGTCATATGTCATATTTTGCTGCTTACTGATTAAGAAAACCAAAAAGGTGAAAACGTATGAGGCATTTAGCGCTCTAAACTTCCATGTCTGGTGGTCTTTCCCAGGAGAAATCCTCTGGAGATAGGAGGTGATGCATTTAATGTTTACAACAGCAGCAGAAGCGGATCTGATATAAATAGCCCTCTGTAGTTAGAGGAGCTGGAGCAGTGATAGCCCGAAGAAAAGAGTTCTATTTAAACTAATTAAACTCGAAAGAGAACAACATCTGAGGGAGGTATTATGATACCGACTCACTGCAAAGTGACTTTTTGAAAGTGTAGCGTAAAAACACAACAGTAAAGACGGCTTAATACTGAAGATGTTGCCAGAAAAACATGACTCTTGTGTATTAACACTTTATGCATGACCTAAAGTATAATAAATAATAGAATCAATACTGCAGCTTTACAACAGTGGGTATGTGGTGCTAGACCGCACCTCTAAGTTGTGAGTACAACCAATAGGAGGAAAGCACATTGAAGGTCAAGACCAATAGAAGAGCAGCAGCCTGTTTCCTTTGAAAATGCTGATGTCAGGTCAGTAAATCAATGGGTGATAGATAAGGGAGCCTGAATTGGTCTTGCAACCCTGGAGGTGTTTTGGGAGAAAGGAAGCCCCCCCTGCCAGACCCTGAGGGGTATAAAGAACAAACCACGCAAGACGAGACAGTGGAGCAACCTCCGGACAAACGGACAGACAGACAGAAGGCTGGTGGTCCCCAATGACGGGCTCCACGGTAGATTTACAGACATGAAAGAGTGCAGGAGAGGTAGACGATCGTTTGTTCCTCTCTCAACTTCGAACAAAAAGAGAAACTGGTCTTATATGATACAGATAACGACCAGACACAATGTTGTCAGCTAGGCCGATATGAGCTATTATGTTGCTGCTCTTTACTGTTTCACGGAGTTCATTGCACTTCCCTAACACACTCTGACACACTACTGTTATGATACTTCCAGTCCTGTAATGTCCCATTCTACAAATGGATTGTGTGTAGCCCTTTAAATGACAAGTGAAAACAGCTCTACGGAGCAGCCAGTCAATAACAAAAAAAATGTTTTGTTTGACAGCAGTTAAATAATACACTCTGTATGAAATGTTCTCGGCCTAAAATTTGAGAGTGCACAAAGGAGCACGCCATGGCTGCTCCGGGGTATCAGTCTCTAAGTCTTTGATTCTATTTGACGTTTGAATCTAGTCGGCCTACTTTACCTCTCCTCATAAATGAAGAATAGACCAAAAGCAAAACAATCACTAGTCAACTACAACTGGATGTATGAATGTAGTTTAGTGGATTTACCAGCCAAGGATGCTTCTTGGAGTAAGATTATATGTATTAGGACTAAAAATGGAAAAAAGAATGCAACAAAGAAAAAATAATTAATGCTATTTGAATATTTCTGAATTCATGGAGCCAGATAAAGACTGAAGAGCAGCATTAATCTCTAACTACAGGACCACAGCACCATGCAGGGAGATAATTAATCACTGTGGTGTCAGTATAGCACCTCAAATCTGCTGAAACTTGAGTGTGCACGTGTGGCTTTATGTGTGTTAATGCAGCATGTGGGTAAAAAGTGTCCCATGCAGCAGAAAACACCATATGGTGCAGAAAAGCGGCCACAGGCATCACATGACCAGTTGGCGAGAGGAACAAACAAGCAGAACACCTCCATGTAGCCAGCATCCGCACAGCCGGCTCTATTGTCATCACCGTACACAAAACAGCTCACTGCCGTCCATAAGACACAGACCTGCCACATGCTCGGTGATCCCTGTGCTCCACGTGACCTACAGGCCTACATTTAGACGTTCGCTTTACACCGATGTTATCCAACTGTATTAAAAGCACCGCCTGCCTTCCGGCCATTCTCTGAGAAAGCGAAGTTATTATTCCTGTGGAGTCTAAGAGAGGGTTACCCAGCGCTCTGAACAAGCGTGTGCCGATAAAGAGATAATAAAAAAATAGATTATTAATAATCCAAGAGAATTAATGAAGCACATGGCCTGCAGCAGAGTCCTTTTTGGTGCATCGAATTCATCCTCCTGAAGCGTGTGTGCACAACGTTCTTCAGAGGATGTTTCTGGAGGCAGCTTTGGCAATAAGAGCAGGAGAATGTGTAGTAAACTAATTTACTTGAATTAACCATCTAACTGTTAGAGCATTACATATTATAATAGAGCAGAACATTTCAGTTGATTAATGCATTAGTCATCAACAGATATTTTGAGAGTTGATTAAACACGCAAGTACATTTTTGAAGTAATCACACAAAACATTATCTGGTTCAAGCTTCTGCAACGTGAAGATTTGCTGCTTTTCTTTGCTTTATGTCACTGCAAGTCAAACATTTTGGGGCTTTGGACTGTTGGTCGGACAAAAAAAAAAAAAAAAAAAATTTTTAATACGTCACCTCGGCCATAAGGAAATCATGATGGACATTTGTTCACTTATTTCTGTCCTTTTTATAGGTCAAACAATTACTGGAAAAGATAAGTGGCAGATAAATCCATAAGGAAAAATGTGTTGCAGCCCTTTGTTAGACCGCAGTTGTATATAAAATCTTTAACTTAGATCTGTTGAATAGTTAAGATGTATTGTATATCCTGGATTTAAATACTTAAAACTCTATTCCTGAAAACAAAAAGGTATTTCAACTGGGGTAATCAATTTACCCTCTGCAATATTATTGAACAATACTGTCATATGAATAAATAACTGTATTAAGCACCAACAGGAGCCAAAGCACACAGTGCTTCAGGTTAACTGTTGGTGTGAGTGTTTTTATGGCCCTGCGTGGCCCCTGCTGTGCAGATAATGACTGACCCGTGGCCCTTTAAGAGGAACATTAGTATTTGGCCAAACCTCCATGTTGATTATGACAGCAGCATTTATGCTGCCCACAGCAACAGCCTCAGCAGCAGACAGAAATAGTGAAATCCACACTGGCACTTAGGAGAGAGAAAGAACGATCAACGTTGGCACAACACGACAACCAGAGGAAGAGATGCAGACGGCCCAAATACAAGATCAATATCTGCAGTGGAAAGAAGCACACAATAACCCAGAGGGGAGCATGTCCCACCCCAAAACAGATGTGCTCGCTCTGTTTTATTATTCATTTTGAGAAGTTATACGCAGAAATAAAAAGAAGCTCAGACACGCCCTTCATGTTCCATAACAAGGGAGAGGCTAATGATCGTGTATGTAAACTGCTTCACTGCTCTCCTGTCTCTTCCACACATGTTTCTAGTCACCTCCCTTGTTTGTCTGACTCTTCACAGAAGCCGCAGCGTCACCAGGCGAAGCTATACCTGACTCTCATCACCCTTTTAAAGTTTCTAAAAAAGCAGAATACAGACGTGAGTTCCACTGCTGTTTTTAGCCAAAGTCTTCCTGGTACAAAAACACGTTGAAGAGAATATAACACATTAAAAATATTGAGTTCCAGGCTGGATTGTTTATTTTTGTCACAAATAACACTACCTCACCACTGAAGTAAAATTGAACTCACTTCCTAAACTTCCTTCAATACACAATGGCCATGGGCCGGCCAGACAAGTCCTCAACCCCAACTATAGACAAGAGGAGAAAACAGGTTCACATTATAGAAGGAAACCATTTCAAACATGTATATTCTGCTCTTTGCTGATCATAACACTGAGCCGGAAACACATTTAAAGTAAGTTTTTCAGAAGAAAAAACCGACCAACACAAGTGGAGATATAAAAAGTCTGAGTGCACTATTATGCATTCACATATTTGCCTCCACTGTAACTGTGTAAGTGGACACGTATGAAGGCAGGCTGGGCCTCAGTCTAGCTGGGACATTGCTGCTGCTGCTGCTGCTTCCTCTCTGAGAGTCCGTCCTGTGACACTGACACAGTTTTTAAAAAATGCAACCGCCTGTAGAGACAACCAGCCTGCTGGCAAAACCACATTTGTGGGGAGGACAGCAGGAAGGAGGCAGGAAAAAAGGCAGAGAGAAAAAGTCTAAAAGGAAAGGAGCAACGCCGGACTGGATGGTATTATCTGCACATTCTATGGCTCAAAGTCAAAAAAGAATTTGAATTCGTACAGCTGAGGGAGGAGGAGACTAACAAGACTCAGTGGTGTGCAGCCTATAGGGACACACCGGTCCAGTATGAGTGTTATAAACCCTGACCTGGACAGAATGCTGTCTCCACTGGTTGGCCTACCTTTAATAACATTAAATACAATTAACAGATATGATTATGACAATAAAATCAAGCTGCTACTTCCAAATGTTTTGAACAGTTGTGTAACTTTGGTATTTGCCGTGCATCTAGCATTTTAACTAAATCCATCCCTAATTCTGTGACCTGATACATAGACAATAATTACACAATTTAAAAAATGTTGCATACATTTGTATGTAAGACGCATACAAATAAGACGTCTTAAAGGTCTTTGTCAATGTATGATGAGATATCAGTGTTAAAGACACTGTAATGCAGTCGTGGCACATCTTTTTCCCCCTAAGTTTTTACATCTCATGTGGTGATGACAGCGAGAATCAAACTCAACACAAAGAGAGCGGATGCATGTAGGCCAGCTACATCTGCCCCACGAAAACAAAGCCTCCTCACAGGAGGAGAGGAGGAGGAGGAGGGTCCGATTTAAGGAAAAACACACTCTGAAGCTACATTACTTAGTGGAATAGGCCTACGGTGCCTTAATATACACTTCAGACAATATAAAGAGACTCAAAGGAGGACCCCGGAGTTTAGTGTGTTTCCAATGAGATAACACACAAAGCGACCTTCACTGTGATGTGCATCCTGTCTCCTTAGCCTCCGTGCGGTTACAGAAGGGAGCGTCTAATATAACCAACAAGGCGGTAACAAATAATAATAGCACAGAGGGCAAACGTGGCCGGTGTTTTTTTTTAATTATTTTTTTTAAATGTCGAGGCTGTGTCGCTTTACAAAGGCGGAGCAGGCTGGTCATGCTGCTGCCATCAGTACACCAGGAGCCACCCAGTCACAACATGGTATTCTTGCTTATTACATTTGATGCATGCAAACTGAATGCAGGTTTTAGTGTGAGAAGTAAAGTAAAGTCTCCGCTCCTCTCACCCGTTTTTCCTCTCTGGTGCGTGTTTCAGTTGAAGGTGTGTTCAGTCTTGGCTCCGTGCGTCGGCCTTCTCTCCCTCCGTCGCTCAGCGATAACGCTTCTCTCCCTGCAAAATAGCGGAGAGACGCGAGCCGACCGACATCCTGTGAAAGACGCGTTAAGTCAGCGGGAATGGTAAACACACAACTTCCGGGGGAAACTTTCAGAATACAATCAGAGCGACCACGCTTTGTGAGTGAGGGATGTCAAGCCTCACCAGGCAGCCATATGCACAACTAATCATGTGACCACAGATTAAGCAAAAATGTAGTTCAACATCCCTAAATCTGTGGGGAGAGATTAGCACTTAGAAAACTGTGATATAAAAGTCGGGACAAAACAATATGGTTCTGATAATATGTATTTATATACAATATACACACATATATCTTTTTTCACCTCATTGTACATACATAATAGTTATATATTTATATTTATTTGTTCGGCTTTGTTATCCTTTTTTAGTTGTAAGTCTATTTTAACTAAATTGTTTTTTGAACTGTGTGTACCGTAAGTACATTGAGAGCAACTTAAGACCACAGTCTAATTTCTTGTATGTGTACCTAATGAAGCTAATTTTTGATCAATTTAAACTAAGGAAATATAAAACCTTAAATGTAAATTCACAGAGCTTCGCTGAGGAGATATTGCAACCTAGTCCCAACACAACTAAAAATATAATATGGATTGCTATGTATCAATAATCAAACAATTCATTCAAAAAATGTGACAAAACATTGTCTTGATGTCCATATAGAAGATGAAACTAATAAGACAGTTCTAACATTGTATCACTTCTTTTTAAATTCCATCATAATGAAGGCGTGTGTTTTAATTACTGTATTCAAATAGAAATAGATAGGCTTTGATATGTGGACCACCTATCTTCAATTGGATGTATATGTCTTATTTATTTTAAAAAAGGGTGTTGTTACCCTTTATCCTTGTGATACAGTCTGCAGTCTTGTAATAGTGCATTGTTGTTTCCCAAAATATCATTGTTTTTTGTATAACTTGTTTAATAAGTTTGATTTCTTAATAGGAGAAAGGTCAATGTTTTTGACTGAAGTAGGCTACAAGAACTGAAGCTTAATTGTTGCATTCATGTGGTTTTTAATTTAACATGGTCATGTTGATTGGACTATAATAAATCAGATGCAGCTGAAATAACACCAACAGACATTTACAGCTTATGGAAAAAGAAAAATACCCTACAGATGGCAAAGTAGCTGACATCACTGGATCTGATGATTAGAAATGCATCTTATCTCATTTTAATTTTCAGAAAAAGAAAAAAACAACTTTTAATTTTGAAAGCAGATATCGTAATTTCCGGGGTTTAGGTGTACGTCTCTGTCTAGCTTGACACAGTTCATCCACAGCAGCGCCTGCGTCTACACTTCCAACCATGGACGCTTCCAACTCGACCAGAAGCCGTCAGCCAGAACCAGGAGGGCGGGTTTCCTGGACTCACTCGTCACGTTTCAGGGTGTTTTGTGACTTTACCATGATGAGTCTGCTGCACAACGCGCAGCTCAAATTAAGAAGGATGTCCGGGAACTACAGAAACGATCGAATTTAATTACGATTTTGCAACAAGAATATAACGACATTACACTTACTGGAGTCATTTTGAAACGATATTTCATTTTAGCTTGTGACAATATACTGTCATAGTGACTGAAATCTTTAAAACATATTCACAGCTGAACATAGGCGGAATAATTAATACACTCTGAGTTCACTGAAATGTTTTGTTTGCATATATTAAAAAATAAAAGAATAATCAGGACAGTCTACTCAGAGAAATCCGCACCAGGCTGCAAAGGTGATAGTTAAATGTATGATATGCTGCCAACGACTTCATTTAAGTTTTAAAGTATTTGAAATGTGCATATCCACTAAAATAACACCCAAAAACATTAGATATTTTTTGCTTTAAAAAAAAATATTTCAAAATCGACAACGTTGTCTGGCTCAATGACGCCCCCTCCTTGTCGACGCGAAAGCACTCGATTTATGTCTCTGGAAGTACCGGCTGGCGAGGGCGGAGCGCTTGTTTGTTTTTCGAACAACGGACCCTGTACACTTTTTTATTTTTTATTTGAGCTATTGTAGGCTACTTCACCACAGTTTGCTTTTAATCCAGAACACCGGCATTTACCTTTGTGTGTTTTTTTTTGAAAAAATGGTGGTGTCCGTATTAGAAGTTATACGTAATTTTAGTTTAACTGACAATATCGTCATTACGGCAGACGAGGTGTCCCAAATCGAACCCCCCCTGTCCGTTGGAGGGGCGTTGTCAGTTGGAGCAGGAACGCGCCGCTCGTGCTGTTTGCCAGCGAATGAACGAACAACATGGACGATCCGCGGGACGTTCAAACTACCAAGCGAAACGGGAGCTCCGGGTCGTCGTTATTGTCGGCCGGTTCCGCGGTGGCCATGGAGATTAAACGGAAGAAAATACGACAGAGCACGTTGTTCCTGCAGACAGAGGTACGATCAGACGGATAACGTCACGGAGGGGGGTCGCGCGTGCTCTGCCGTCAACACGATGTATAATGACGTAAACAAGCTAATCGGCTGTTTAAGTTTACACTGATTCAATAACAACGATTCGATAGGCTGTGATCAAATAAAGTGTAAATAACGACTTTAATTTTCTAACTTGTCTTTCTGAAGCGCGCACACACACACACACACACTAGCCCCGGTGGGCCGGTTGTTATCCAATACGGGAGTTGACCCTTTTATCGTCATTCAGGTCCCTGAAACCAGATCTACGCACTGTGCATTGTTGAATGCTGCTGAGCATGAGCAGGAATAAAGCTCTCCTCTAATGTCATTGCAGACCAAAAGCCCAAATCTTCTGAGTGACAGTCTGCAGACAGTAGAGGAAGTGAATGTGATTGTACATACCACAGATTTATAAGAAGCTAAAGGTTCATATTTTAGTTTGTAACATGATGTTTGTATCCCTAAAACAACTGTGCATGTACATCTGAACTTCACTTGACTATTTATAACCTCACCAGAGACCAAATTTCCAAATTAAAAAGGAGATATTTAGAATTTATTACTCCATCTAGGCCACAGATACGTGTGTTAAAACTTCCCAAACACATTTTTTCTGCCACTACTCACTTATACATTACCATCTGGATAAAGTCATGTACTCACTATTTTGCCGTATCGAGCATATTTATACAGTATGTTGACAATTATGAATCTAACTGATTATTAGTGATCTTCATAACCACTCCTCTCCTATTCTGCTCGCATCATTTCCCGTCACAATCTGCCACAAAAGTTGCTCTTCAAGTGTGACATTTTCAAACGTATCATTGTCAAATGTAGTTGTGGCGGTGCCTGTGCCCTCCTGCGTGGCAACCAAGAAGAATCACTTTTCCTGAGAGCCTTGTGATATTTGGTCGTGGGTCATCTGTTGCAAGGAACCCTGAAAGTTTTAGCTCAGCTTTGTGCCAGAAAGAAAGTTTTGTGCTGCAAATCACTATTTCGTCTCTGCCAAAAAACACAAGGTTAATACAAGGTTAAGTGCATGTGCATGTGGTCTTAAAAGGGTTCTTGTTTGTGTGTATAATTGATGTGCGTCACTTCACTGAGTGGTGGAACAACACTTGCCGAAAACAACATTCAAGGGCAACTTCACTTTAACTCCACTTTGCTCCTTGTTTTCATTCTTGTTGTGTGTGTGTTTTTGGTCGTTTTTTCCTTTTGCGTGTTCTGTCCGAGAAGAACACCGACATGCAGGAAAAGCTGGACTTTGAGATGCGAATGCGTGAGGGTGCGTACAAGCTGCTGCTGGCCTGCAGTAAGAGAGAGCAGGTTCTCAACGCCTCCAAGAACCTGCTGACCTGTAACGCCAGGATCAGGGCTTATCTCGCACAGCTGCAGAAGAAGAAAGAGGAGCAGCAGCACGGGATTGGAGCAGTCATGAGGTGAGGGGCTGGATGCTGTGTGGAGGGTGTCTTGTGGTGGTTTTTAGTGGCAAATCCAGGTGTTATCTTAAGATTTGTATTTTTTTTTTTTTTTTTCTCCAATTTTATTTCAGATGTTCAGATCCAGATGATCGTGTGCCCTGTAATGGGACAATTGCAATGTCTGGTAAGATATCTCCCCTCTGTTCAGAATAGTTTAACACTGGAGAGTGTCGGTGCGTAATAACTTATAATAGTAATACTTTCTAAGATGACTTATTTTTGCTAAATGTTTCTTTGTTAATTCACTTGTTCCCTCTGCTGATTTAGGGCTGCGCATGCCTTTGATGTGGAGGGATTCAGCCTACTTCAACAACAGAGGGAGTAAGTTTGTCTTTGCCTCCTCTCGTGCCCTCTGTTTAGCTTCGCCTCATGTCATTTCACACACTGCACGTCCCTCTCGTGTTTGTTAGGCTCCCGTCGGGTGGCCGTGTTCTGTCTGATGCAGATTGGCTCGGAGGTGTTTGACACAGAAATGGTGGTGGTGGACAGATCGGTCACTGATATCTGCTTTGAGGGAGTCACCGTCTTGTGAGTATAATACTCTTAATACAGCTGCACTTACTTTAGGGAAGCCCCATTTATGTGCTACTGTGCAGTGGTGGAAAGAAAATGTCTGTATTGAGTATGTTGCTGGAAATGTGTTCTTTATTTAGTATCATGGATATCAGAATATGTATTAGAGTTTATTTCTACAAACACTGACACATCTATTGTTTGGAATATTCCAGGTCACAATCACTGTGCAGTGACATTTATTATTTATACATCTTCAGTGTTTTGTTCGAAGTTGTTTTTGAATCTTGCTCTAACATGGTTTATATAGATGTTATTGTTTATGCTCTGATTGAAACATCTCCGTCCTCTCATAGTAAAGAAGCAGTTCCTCAGTTTGAGCTGAGGGTGGAGCTGTGGAGCTGTGCCCTGGAGGAAGAGCTCACGATGGCAAATACGCCAAAGAAACTGGCCAAGAAGCTCCGCCACTCCTTTGGAAAGACGGCTGGGAAGAAGCTGAGCCCTCTGCTGGACAGTCCGGACCCTGACACTTTCCTGCAGCACAACCCCATCCCCTTGTATGTATTGTGCTTCCCCATAAAACCCTTTACAGACTCCTGGCTCCTAGGTTTAAGATTCTTGCAGTTGGGAACAGACTCAATTATGGCCTGTTACTGGAACGACTGGTGTAGCCCCACTGTACACCGACATAAACCAATATTTTCGGGTTTTGAATACTGACATGCTTGGGGACATTCACTGATTGTGTTTTCGTGCCAATAATAACTATTTTATTGAAAAAAAAAGTGCATGTTTTTAATGTTCCCGCCCAGCTCTATTTTGTTTGTACTCGACGGCATTTAAATCTCTCAAACTGAACATCTGTAAGTGATATAAACCAGCTGTCAGTGGAGAAGAAACATTGGGATCATTAGGCCTTTGAACAAAGAGATAATTTACACAAAGCAAAAACTGCTGGGTATGTGTGCACATGTTGGAGTTGAAGGGTTAGTCTCTTTAATATGAGGGTTAGAGTTGAGCATGAATCTTTTATGGTTAAGCCTGGGAAGCCAAGGAATGAAAATAAGTGAATGCAGGAAACTATTAAAGGACGCTAAACTCTGTGTTTGTGTGTACTTCTACCTGTACCAGTGGAGCCAAGTACAACCTGCTGGCCCACACTTCACTGTGTCTGCCTGAGGCTGAAGGCAGCTTCCAGTCTCACTCCCTCATTGTCCTCCAAGACGGTAAGAAGCAAAGGCACAGAAATGTGATATCTGGGATTATAAAGGAATTAAGCTGTTTAGTCTCTGATTTAAATCAGTACTGTGGTAATGATCCAGTATTTTTACACCATTAAAATTAAACAAAATACCCTATGATTGAAGTTCACCTCAGAAAACGTTCCTTGCTTTGCGTGAGCGATTAAATGGATAAGAATGAGTGCTGAGGCAGGTTTTTGTGATCTAGCTCTTACTTTCAGGAGTAAACATTTGGTACGAGTTTGCAGCATGTGGTGTTTAGATCCACAGTGCACATTACGGGTTATTGATAAGGCTCATATGACAAGAAGCAGCTCTCTAATGTGTGTTTGAGGTGTAACACTACACCTTTGTAACCTGAAAGGTTTAGGAATATTTAGTAAATGATAAAAAGGAAAGTTGTTTAATTGTGGTGGGTTTTTACCTTTTCACTTAAGATTGAAACAGTTCTTAACGAGGGCCTAAAGCATATAGTACTTTATTAACATGTAGGTTTTATCTTCATCCACACAGCTGAGTGGTCCTCTTGGCTTCCGCTTTATGGCAACCTCTGCTGCCGGTTGGTGGCCCAGCCGGCCTGCATGACACAGAGCATGATGACCGGCTACCTGAGCCAGAAGGTGTGTTCACTGCTTGTAATCGTTAGCGTTAGCTCGATAGCTGGTTCCTGGGTTCATACTTTAGTTTGATTTTTCAGCAAACTGTGGAGGGGATGTACCGCTGCTGCAGTCTTTACTGTGTGCTGAGTTCTGGCATTTTGTCCTGCTATTTCACCCCGGAAGAAATTGATGCTAAAGTGCAGCCTACTCTCAGCGTACCCGTCAACAAGGTAAGACCGGATCTCTGGCTACAGTGTGGGAAGAAGTTACACTGACGCTTCTGTGTGAATGTATTTATTAGATAAGTAATCCCTTTTAACATTTGCAGAATAACAATATATAATAATAACATATAAAAGGCCACATGACTCACTGAGATCCTGCTTGCATCTTTGGCATTTTACTGCTGAATCATTTGTTTTCTGCAATATCAGCGATGTACCGTTTGGTGCATATCTCCAATAGCACCGTCACCTTATGCTAAGTTGTTTGTGTTGTGTCTGCAGGACACCCGGATCCGCGTGATGGAGAAAGAGTCAGCAGGCCAGAAATCCAGGAGCCTGTCCATCATCAACCCGTCACCAGAGGGGTCTGAGAGCATCGTCTTCACCACAGAGACCAGCCAGGAGCTGGAGGACTGGTTGGACGCCCTCCACCAGCACCTCTATGATCAGAGTGAGTGTGTGTGTGTTTCAGTGTAAACATACAGCAGAAGTGTGTATATAAAAAGTATAGGTTACATACAGTGTGTACAGAGCAGGTATGTTTCCTAAAAAGGGCTCGTGGTGGAGTACGTGTATGTCGGTCTGTTTGGGCAAAAAAAGTTGCTGCACATGCTTTTAGCTAAACTTAGCGAGAAAAGATAGTATAACCTCTTATCTCTCTCGTGCCTCTCCTTGTTTACAACCAGGCCAGTGGCTGCAATGCTGCAACCAGCTAATGAAGATTGAGGTCGCGTCACCGCGGAAGCCATCACTCTTCCTCACCAAGCAGGCTGACTCTGTTTACAATGACCTCAGTGAGTAGAGTAATTGGAGCGAGTGGGTGAAGTGACTTAGACCGAGGTTGATGATTCGCTGGCTTCAGGATTTGTATATTACGTCTATTTATAGAAGATGTGATGCTCGAAACAAAAGTGAAATCAGTGAAATGACTTTATTATATTAAACACGCATAATTGCTTTAATTTAAGCGGTGAAGCATTTAAATAAAACCCTTTTACATTATTTTTCTCTGCATTTTAATAAAACCACTTTAATCAAATATGGAGAAAAAAAATGTTAATTTAACATTTTGCCTGATCTATTTCACTTCACTTCAATGTTTATCTTTTGACGTGCAGGTATAAATTCACCTGGCAAGTTTGAGAGCATCACAGATATCATCCACAACAAGATAGAGGAGACAGACGGCCGCTTTCTGATTGGTCATGAAGAGGAGAAGGTAGCGCCTAATTGGTCCTCCCTGTTTGAAGGGTCTCATTCAGTGGTAGTGCAGAGGGGTAATCTGTCCCAGAGCAAAACCTCCACCCCTTCTTCAAGCCCCAACACCAGCTCTACATCCATCGGCAACAAGAAGCGCCGTGCTCCACCCCCGCCCTCTGACAGAGAGCCTTATGCTCCTCCCAGCCGCCCTGCCAGACCTCCCCTCCCCACCTCTCTTCATCATCATCCTCCTCTTCCTCCCTCATACCAGGAGAAGGAGAACACTTGCACTTCGCGCCCGGCCACAAGGTCCAAAACTGGCAGACCATCTCTGGATGCCAAATTCTCTGCCATCATCCAGCAGCTCCAGCGGGGCAACGCTGGAGGAGCCGGAGCCCTCGGCCGTAAAAACGCTCCATTGGGCGTCCTGGATGTACAACCACAAAGTCAGCCTCAGCCTCCTCTCCAGCAGCCGGAGCACCAGAACCACAGCTCTGAGGCCGCAGGTGAACATGCCTTCCTCAGACCAAGTCACGGTCCTGGTCCTGGTCCTGTTCCTGCAGCTAGGAGCAAACTGAGGAAGTCATTCAGAGTGAGGATGAACCTTAAAGACAATAACTAACCCTAACCTACCACTAATATGAATATCTACAACGCAGTTACAACTTTTCAAATGAGCTCGAAAGCCTTGATTGAATCCGATATCAATACGGTATATATTTTAATGCTCCTAAAGAGCAATAATTGTATATTTGATATAGGTCAACATTGAAAGGATTAGTTCCAATTTTGTGAAATGTGTTTCATGTCGCAAATTGGATGAAAAGAACAATATTACTCTCATCTGTACACTAAATATGAAACTGTAGACACTTAGCTTAGCATAAAGACTGGAAACGGGTAGCCTAGCTCTGTCCAAAGGTAACATCTGCCTACCAGCACCTCTAAAACTCAAAAAATGTTTTTTTTGTAATCCAAAAACTGAACTGAAAAATTGTAATGCTTTGGTTCTTATAAAGATTTAATAAACAAGATAAAATGTATCAATTAGTGAGCTTTAAAGGTCTTGGTTGGTAGATTTTCTTTACCTTTGGTCAGAGTCAGGCCCCCTGCTTTCAGTTTTTATGCTAAGCTAAGCTATCCATCTACCGGCTCCGACTTCACATTGCACCGATAGATAAGAGAGTGGTATCGACTTTCTCGTCGTATTTCCCAATAATGTCGACCCATTTCTTCAACCTTAAGGACGGGTGGGTGACCCGGCCTCTTCAAAAACAAAAGATCCTCACAATGTCCATCACGGCGACCCAAATCCCAGTCGGCACCTCCAATCACAATATCAATATCGTATCTCCACTCTCCATTTAAGAACTCTTTCACGTGCAGCTAACCCATAGACGAAATTGAAAGCTGTACGTTGGGCCGAGCATCGCCATCATCAATCCCACTAAAAGACAGAGGCTCTTTTCTCAGCTCTGGAACATGGAGCTGAGAAAAGAGCCTTTGCAAAAGCACTCAAATTGGAATTGATCCATCGGCCGACTCAACGAGTCATTCCTTTTGGAACTATTGACTTATTCCACTCACTGTGACAACTTTATGACCACTATAGCTGATTTTAAGCTAACGGGTTTTTAGGAGCAATTGCAAGCACTAATGTGACTTCTCCATTTCTCAGAGGTCTTAATAATGGAGTGACCTTGGTTTTCAGTGGCCACACAGTATGTCCAACATAATCTAACACTGCAGCCTGTAAATGCCATGAACATAATCGAATGAATGAGTCCTTGGAGTGGCTAAAGTTATGAATGCCCTTGTGTTTTGAACATATCCAATACTGGCAGCCACTAAAACATTTCAACCACTTAACAGTCACATGTTGAAGAACAGTCTTCGTAATTATACACAGTGTACAACACATTAGGTTTAGCTACTTTCTCTGAAATTATCTGTGCAGATGAAGCAGAGTGGTGAAAGCTGCAATCCCATTTCTTTTTTATCTCGCCCCCTAAAATTCTGTTTAATCAAGAGGGGGAGATGTAGATTGGGAGAGGAGGGGGGGGTATTACAGGAGGGTTTAGTTTAAGCTTTGAAAGAACCCGAGAATGGATTGCACAAAAGATGCTGCTCAATATTAGCGATGTGTGTATTACCAACACATTAGTCACTTTGATGTAGTACTGTATATACCTGGAAAAACAAGGGATGGTTCCTGCGTCAGACCTCGTGGCATTAGTCTTAACTGATGCTGATGTGGTTACACCTCGGGCTGCAACAGCTAAAATCACCACTGTGATTATATTGCACGTCCTGTGTTGTCCATCATAATCTTAGGCTATTTTCAGTTGCAGTGAGCATGCTAGAGACTAAGGAACATTGAATTACACGCCAATGTTTCTGACAGTTACAGTGAAAGCCAACATTTCTGTAGTGTTTCATATTAACTGTGTAGCCCGAGTGAAAGCAGGAAATGTTGCCCCTGTGGGTATTCAGCTTGAGGGAAAGCATGTGATGTAAATGTACAACTGTTTTATGACTAAACAAGGACTGAACGTTTTTTTTATCGGAGCCAAACTAATGAGCCAAATTTACAATGTTTTTGTAATGTCTGTCTTTTATATGTCTTGTCAGGTATTAATTACGCATGACGGCAATAATTTGTAGTTTTTTTGTCTTGTTTTTGATTTAAATGTTCTGTAATTCCTTTTCATAGTATAATACTGCCAAGTCATCTCAATTTTACTTTAGCATATGAATTATTTAGACTTTAAGTGGCACTGCGGTTATGTACTAGTAAGCAGGGATACATTAATCTTCTTCCTAGCGCAGAATAATTTGTGTATAGTGCAATGTAAAAAAAAATAAAAATCTCTAATTTTTGTTTCTCCAAAAGTACAATTTTCTCCTCACTCTGTTCCCCGTTATCTTGGAATCTTAACTGTATTTTTTTTTTTTTATTGCTGATCTGCAATAAAACGGCCTACATTCTACCCTGGTGAGGCTGCTTTATTTTTGCTGAGCTTGGAGGTATTACTGCATATTTTTCATGGTAAAGGTTTACCAGGGGGTGGCAATAAAAGTCGAAGCATAGCTTTTATTGCAGCCCAACACATATCCCATAGAGATACATGCACTGGCACATTTCTCTACTGCAGCAAATACTGGAGAGGCTCCTCTGGCTTTGAGCCCAGAGGTAGCCTGTTGTGAAGATTAAGGCGGATGGAATCTCATAGCCAGATAATGGTATTACAATAATACAACCCCATTCACACTGCATTTACTCAGGGGAAAGAAAAGAATATCACATTGACGTTAGTACACTGGCATTAAATATCAGTTTATTCAGCCCTCGCTATTTATCTGCACTTCAGTCAAAGAACACAACTGAGGAAACACGAGTAGATAGTAAAATATTTTAATTAAATATACAGGAGGTCATATCATACAAAATGTCTTTATTTTTTTGTCTTGCTCGCCAGCTGGGTGATTGGTAAACAGATGGCTACTGTATCAAAAACACTTTCAGGATGCACATTAATGGAAACAACGTGGAGGAAAAAAAGTGAAACGACAAGAAATAAAAATAGTATCCTAAACCTTAAATTGTAGTGTTTAAATCTAACATGATCACGGTGACCTTGGACCCAGCTAGATTGTGTAACCGACTTTTATACTGTTTTTGTACTATTTACAGATTATAACAGTTTATATGATAACAACCACGCACGGTACTATCTACAGTGCTATTTACACAGAAAATAAGACAAGAGAGATAGGGGTTGTCATGGATTGATCCCGTATGAACGTTCTGTACAGGAGCCGGCACTAATGCCAGTTTTACCTACACACAGCAATGTACAGTACTTTATCAGAAATGGATGTCTTTACCTAAGTATTCAGTTAAACTTTACACATAGACGTTTACAGCTTCTTTTTTTTTCTTCTTCTTCTTTTGAAACACCAGACATATTTGACTGTGTATTTCGACTATCCTGGTTTGCAATTATAGTGGTTGTAAAAGCCAGAGCAGGTGTTGTTGTTTCACCTCAGGCCATGGAGCATGGTCGGCATATTTTATGGAGTCTGGTAGCTTTTCATCACTGCTAGAAAACACCTAAAGCACACATGCCCTGCGGATGACAGACACCAGACCTGTGTCAATATATAAATCTTTTCAGGTTCTGCTATAATTGACTGTCTGACACAGCTAAGTAAATAGAGTCATTAAAGAACAAGCACTAACCAGAAGGTTAAAGCATAGCTGTTTACATTTTCAAAAACTCAACATGTTGTGCCTTACCTATCAAGTCTGGTGTCTGAAAGCCAAGTGTGCCATTTAGTTTTTGTATGAGTGTCTGTGCGCTGCATTTCAGACAAGAGTGACAGTAATATTGATATTTCTACCCTGCTACAGAAGATAAACCTTAACAACTGTAGTGCTAACTCTAATCCAAGACTGCGAAAGGCACAGATATTTGCAAAGCAATAATATCCTAAGTGACAACATTCCTATTAAATCATACAGTGAGTCTTTTCAGCGTGCTGAATAAAAAAAAGAGTCTTTTCAAGTCAAGAACAAAAAGATGAAATGCTGATTTCTTGTGGTGAGCATTCCACAGCAGACGGCTGCTTCATTATGCTGGTCCGACAGACAAAAACAAGCTGCTACAGTCTACTCATCACAAGGGGCTTTAGGATCAAATTACTTTCAATTCGGAGAGTAAAAATTAAAACGGCTGTTCATTAACTCACTAAAAAACATTCGGGAATTGTCAACAGATTGAACATGACAACTGCTTTGTGTTGTATAATCTGGACTGAAATATATAACGAACAAAGACCTGAACCGAGTAAAATGTGAGTCTACAGTACATATGTTTTACACAGCACCTCTGAATGTTATGACACAGCTATATTCAGCACCGCATTGAGCGTTAACGTCTATGCCAAGGAGTCCAGGTGGATTTACTGTGGCACAAGCCGGCATCAGCTTTCAGCGTGGAGACATGTAAACAGACGCAACACCCCTGGCTGTCTAAAGTGTGATAATGCACTAAACAGCTCTTGAACATTGTTTGCAAGGCGAACGCACCTCTAGTTATATAAAGAATTTTCATTTACGTCATCATGTTACTTGCGTAGTGTTTTTAAGCAAAAACAGTTTAGCCCTCAGATGCAGTAAACAAATGGCTTTTCTCTGTTGCCCGCCACTTTTCACACGTTCAGAGCAACAACCTGACTCACGGTGACCGAGAGCGGCAAACTGATTTGTGAGCACATACACACGAGCATTGTGCAAATAAGGATACAACGAGAACAACAACAAAAAATATACAGTAAGTGGTGATACAAACAAAGAACAGTGCAAAGTATATAAACAAAGGCAAACACAAATAAAAAAAAGAGAATGGAATTTTCAGTCTGAATGATGCGTTTATCAGTCTGTGATAAGTTTTATAATCAGTGTTTATTTTAGACTGAGCCACAATCCCCGAGCAAGAGAGACAGAAAGACAAGAGAGAAGCTGAATGAAAGTTTGTGATGATGAAGAAGGAGAGGGTGAAGTGATTCATCCTCTCACAGTCTGGTGCTGGGGTGTACCGAAGACAGCTGAGGTGGAGGGAGGGTGGAGAGAGGGTACAGGTGGTGCAGCAGGTCCCCGTACAGTGCTGCCCCGCCCGGGTGCCTGTAGAAGTGGTGTGGGGTGGGACTGGCGGCCAGCAGCTGCCTGTGAAGCATCATTGAGTGGAAGGCTAGCGGGGGCATGAGGGGAGACACTGCCGACTGGCTCTTTAGGTACTGCAGACCCGGGTGCAGTCCGTCTCCGTGGGAGATCAGGCTGCCGGGTGGGTACATGGCAGTGTAGAGGTGTGGAGGGTAGGTAGTGGTTGGGTGGCCCTCAGGGAGATGGTTGTTGAGGTGAACGGCGTGGGCCGGCTCCGCTGGTTTCAGCTCTTCTGGGTCGCTGCGTCGGATTGCGCCGGCCGGGTGGACTGGCGTCACCACACGGACCTTCCTCTCTGGAACGTCCTCACCGTCGGGTTCCACGAGGCTTCGCTTACTGGGTCGAATGGGGCTGGCGAGGGACGAATTGTTTGGAGCTTTCGGGCTGGGAAATGGCTGCGATGATTCTGCTGGGTTCTGTTTGGGGGGGGAGATGGTCATGGGAGGAACTCTGCACGCCTTAGGGTGGGAATCCAAACCCTGGTGCATGATGTGATAAGGGAGACTGCAGAAAGAGGGCTTCGAGAAGGACGACCCCCTTTGAGAGAGAGGTTTAGCGATTGTAAAGTCTCTGGGCTCATCGTCTGCCTCTCTCCTCTCTAAGTGTGTTTGAGTCCTGTCTCCGTAGTGAGATCTGTAGGCCAAGCCCTCTTGCTCCAGGCCGCCACAGACAAAGCTGCTTTCATGGTCTCTAATGTAGCGCTCTCTCCGATCTCCGTTGGGAAAACCAACCATCCTCTCCTGGCTCAGGCAGTTCTCAGTTTGCCTGTACAGACTGTGGAGGTGAGGGGAGGAGTAGCAGTCGCCCGTGTAGCTCCGAGGCTGAGAAGCTGGGCCCTGGAGTAGCGTCTCCCCGGCGTTCTCCACGGCATCCTGGGCATGGGCATTGGGGAGGTAGGGCTGCCATGGCGGATTGACTTGAGGCTGGAGGTGACGGCTGGTCCGGCAGCTGTACGCCTCGGAGAGTTCCCCGGCGGCGCTCCTCTCTGAGGGGCCGCCGGCAGCTTGTTGGTGAGGCTTGCTGCTCTGGGCATGCTGTATGACTGATGGCCTGAATATGGGCGCTACCTCCGGGATGCTGTCTGACACACACCCGTGCCTATGTCCTACCACCTCCTCGTCACCCTTTCTCTTCTCCCTCTCCCTTTCAGGTACTGATATGACAGGGAGAGAGGAGGTCGCTGTGGGATGTGGCGGCTGAAGAGAAGGAGACGTAAAGGAGAAAGGGTTGGACTCGCACACTTGGGAGAGGAGCTTCTTTTTGGCTAAAGGAGACATGACCCCCTGGCTGGATTTGCAGTAGGCAGCCGTCTGTGCGGGGTTCTGGGTTGACTCCTTCTTAATGGCCACGTAGTCTTCTTTCTCTGGGAAGGAATCTGTGCTCAAGTCTATACACTGTCTGTCTGCCTGCTTACACATCGGTAACACTTTCCCCACTCTCCCACCATGACTTTCTATGGAGTCTTTGACCCTGGAGGAGGGCTCGGGCAGAGCAACATGTCCAGCAGGTCTGTTCTGATCCCAACGGTGAGGCAGGTAAGGGATTTTAGGAATGAAATGCCCTTCAGTTTGCTCTTCACAGGAGAGTTTCGCTTGGAGGGCCTCGCTGATTTGCCTCCATTCAGGCCGGGGACCGGGCCCCGTGTGGAGGGACAGACCAGCATGTGGGGCTCTGCAGTCTGGCTCTTTGGGGCAGAGTGAAGATGGCTGCTCCACTGCCAATGACTCCTCTTTCTTTAGGGTAACGTGTAACTCTTCCTCCTCTATTACAATTGGTTCATCTCTCAGAGATACCTCCTGTTTTATGCTTGTGGGCAGCTCATGATCCTCCTCTTTCCCCTTGGAGTCCTGCATGCAGAAAAAATGATAGCTGTTACAGTTGCTTCTCAACGTAAAATAAATAAGACACTCCTATATTTTCTTATTATTGGGCAATTTTAAAGACAAACTGAATTCAAGACAGAGGGTGAAGCATTGATGAGAAAGCAGACGGAGATTAAAATTAAACTGAATTCAGAGCGAGGAGGAATCCTGATGAGGCAGCAATTGGGTCTGTGACTGACCTGTGATTGTTCTTGGTCTTTCACCGCCTCCCCTCCGTCCTTTTTACTCCCCAGCTTGGGATTGTTGGAGCCTTTGAATTTCTTGGCCCCCACTCCTTTGGCTTTGGCTCCTGAAGCCTTCTCTTGGCCGCCCTCCTGCTTCTTGGGTTTGAGCGAGGGGAGGGGCTTGTCATGCTCGCCTTTAACGTGCCTCTCATAGGGAAGGAGGAGCCTGAGGAAAAATGCAGGCAAAGGAATGCAGATGAGTTTGTGGTGTGATCATGTTATGCCATGTCAGGCTTAAAAAGGCACAATTACTAATCTGTGATTTTAATTTATCACGCACGAACAAAAATCATTTTTCACCCAACAGCAATTTTACATTGAAAAAGAAATACACAAAACTATAAATTTGCGCACCGTAACGTGGGGAAGGTGAAGTATATTTTAAACAAACAACCTTGCTTGTTTTGTTTTGGTGTCCATACTTAAGAATAAAAGAATAAAATAAAACAACACAAGTATTTTGTTTTGGTAATAGCAAAAACAGAATGAGCTGAAGCTTTGCCACAGGCATGCAGAGTATCAAATACCTTGCTTTAAAACCGCCTTGTTTTAATATGTGGCAAGCATTAACAATCCTATTGTAATTAATCTAGGCTAGGGGAAATCCAGGTTCAGATGGGTGCCAGAGTATGTGTGTGTGTGTGTGTGAGAGAGAGAGAGAGAGAGAGAGAGAGAGAGAGAGAGAGAGAGAGAGAGAGAGAGAGAGAGAGAATGTGAGAATGTGAGTCACCAGTCATGTCCTGCTGAGACAGATCACAGTTGATAATAGTTAATCCTTGAGGCAAAGAATATGTGTGTGTTGTGTTTGTGGATGTGTAAAGTGAATGTGTTGGGGAGTGAAAAGGAGGGGAAATGCCTGGGAGAATTGAAATAAAATGTTTAAAAGGAATCTCATATATCACATCATATCTAATTTAATATATAAATATGATTAATCACAGAAGTAAGTAGTACAGTAATAAAATATTTCAGCTGTAACACTACGCTCACTGTTCATTTGACATGATTTAAATGCAGGATAGCTGCCTCTGCTCCAACTTAATTAAGTACATATAAGTGACAAGGACAACCCTGTAGAAGAAAAAAACATGAAACTATTTTTGACTTCTGTTATTTCTCTCATGAATAGTTCTCAAGTCAATTTTCCATATCTGATGTCATAACTAATGGGAACATTAAGATCTGGATAACATAACAATACCCATGTGTAAAATAATGACATGAAGAAACCAGTGAGGGAAACTTTTAGACTTTTATTGCTCAGAAAAGGAAAATGGAAATTGGCACTAGACCAGAAATAAGAAACGTTGTGGAAGAGGAAACCAAGACAACTGAAAAACTACAACACTCCAAACTTCAATAAGCTCCTCTGAAAATCTCCCCAGCTCCTCTGTCTGGTTTTTTTTACAATAACAATCCATAAAAGCCAGACAGAAACATGACTTTCTCAGTCATGAGAAAAATAAGGTCTTCTCGTGTAACGACAAGAGACGGTTGCAGTATTCCTTTTAAGGGACATGGCGGTAAAACAAACAATGAATCAAGAGCTGTTTTGCCTCCTCTTCAAAAGGAAGAAAAAAAAGCCTCAGAGAGTTCAAGAGGCTCTGTGGGATTTTTTGTTATTTTTCCTCTGAACAAAAGTGCTGGCAGGGAAAGCGGTGAAACTACATTTCATACAGCTGGTCTGGCACCAGGCCCCAGGCCAAGAAAGGAAATGTACTATTAAATGTGACTTATTGGAAAGACGGAGAGCAAAGGGGTTATGAAAGAGAAGAAGGGAGGGAAAGAGAGCAAAGGAAAAAGGAAACAAGGGGAGTGAAAGAGGGGATAATGACATGTTAATGAGGAGCAAAAATGATTCTGAATGAAGGAACGAAGGATCCTGGAGAACAGAGACAAACATATGCAATCTTTATACAGCGTGGTAATTTATTAGAAATACCGAAGTGGTTCTCAGGCTGTCTAGAAATAAGTATTATTTCCCAGAAAAGGCAGGTATAGATTAAATGTTTCACCGTTGTAAAACTGCGGATTCGATTTCTTCAGGCTTGTAAATGTGTGTTCATCGTGTACAAATGTCATGATCAAAAGGCTAGAAAAGTGTCGTATATATATATATACTGTATACAGTACCAGTACCAGTAAGAGTACCAGGGTGCACTGTTGACTATCACAATGATCTGTGGGAAAGAGACTGCTGCCTTGGCCTGGGTCAACTTTATGGAATGTCAATATGGAGTGGGGGTGGGGTGTCACAGGCCCGGATAATGTAAGAGCTGAGCCCGGGAAATTACTGGAGCCTTAAATAGTTCCAAATGGAAAGGCTAAGAAACCAAAAATCAGTCTCAGGAAGTCCCCTACATCAGAATAATTGGCTTTGTTATGCTTGATAATTATAGGATGATTTACCAAAACTGTAGCCTATAAAACCAATTCCAATCGATAAATTTTTTACAGTTTTATGTAAATTTACACAGGTGGCTGAATAAGCAAATGAGGTTGAAGCTACAAGGCACCTTTCACCACGATGTTAAACAAGGAAGTGTAAAATCATAATAGAGCCCTCAGTGTGAACTGGAGCAATTTCAAGCAGTGTATATATATATAACTTAGTCATGATCATGTTATATAGCACTCATAATACAATACCACTTATATAAGTAGCAATTTCCTCCGAGGAAGGGGTGAGCTTGGCAGCCACTGCATAAGTTGAAAGAGAGCCAGATGTAGTAAATAATTACAGCCACTAGGGGGCGTGTGCTGCACTCAGAGATTCCGGGAAGGAATTTCATTACAGCAGGAGAGGCAACATTTTTATGAGGTCAATAAATACTTAACTTCCTCTCATGCCAATTTATCACCCCGGCTTTTGTTTAAGCAGCCATTTTACATGTTGATAACAAGCAAGTCAAATATGCAGCGAAAAGATTAAACATTGAATAGGCACAGATAGAAGATGTAATTAAGTTTAAAAATATTGATATACGGTATATATATATAAAAATGAAGCAATATTTTTTAAACTTTATCCATACATATACATTTATACATACACATATATATTATATATACAT